ATGCGCAGCATCCCGCAACTCAATCTCAGGAGTGCACTGAACAAATTCCCAAGGAAGGACCTTCACGGCAAACTGAACAACGCAGGCCGGCAAAAGCTTTGCGAAATGCAGTCGGTTGAAATGCTGGGAAATTTCTGCGCACGTCCTGAAGCCTGTGCGGTTTAATCTATCACGTGCCCAGCATGACGCAAATGGGAGTGGCAAAGCGACTCTGTTAGGCATCACTCTTCAATCGTGACTTTGTCTCGAAAGTGCTGTTGCAGCCATGAGTGCAGATGTTGAGGAAACTCTTGAGCGAGTTCCGCCTTCGTGTCCTTCAGAAACACGTCTGCATTCGGAAGCACCCGCGATAACCTCTCTGCTACTTCCGCGGGGTGTGTCGTATCATCACGAGCCGCACACAGCAAAACTGGAATGCGGAGCTTTGCGGCGGCCAAGTCCTCCAGTGGCGGCAAATCCGAGAATGCAGCGCCCCTCACCACTTCCGAGGCAGCGGGATCGCTTGCTTGCAGGACGTCGGCGCTCTTCAACAAGTTCGCTCGCCGCGCAGCCCGGATCTCCCATGCTGTTGTTACGGACAACAACACCAATCCACGAACGGCCGTTGGACACAGATATGCCGCCCACAAGGCCGTGGAAGCTCCCATGCTATAGCCGCCAAGGAGAGCTCCCCGGAGCTTCTGCGTCGCAGGGGTCTGAAAATTGCTTGCCACCGACAACATATCAAAGGCTAAGCTGCGCCAATGAAACTGTTGAATACAGCTCGCTAGGGGTTCCCAGCCAGAAGACCGTCCATGACCTCTCGCATCGTACACCACGGTGCTGAAAGGCCATGCGCCCTTACCTTTGTCCGCATCTTCCTTCATCATCTCCTTGACCAAAGGAAAACTCTCACATGCCCGATGATCCATGCCACGTGGATCCGTGGGCCCCAAGCCATGTCCCCAAATCAAGGGGCATCTGTCGATGCCACCGAGTATCTCGTAAGGCAGCTCCGTACCGTCCAACAGTTGCACCTTGCCCTCCGGCTCTTTGGCCATGCTGCATGGGCTTCTTTCCGAATTTGCTCGATCCGCAAACTTTTCGGCTACGCTAGGACCGCTAGGAAGCTAAGCAGCATCACCTATTCTGCGAAGGCCGTGCTCAGGCACGAACATCTGGATTTGAGCAGCGTCCTGACAAAAG